CTTCTCACACAGCATGAACATTATCCTGTTTATCCTATTCCCACCCCTCGCCACCACTGTAAATACCCGCTCTAATGACAGTAACCTCAGGTTGGCCCTGGGTCTCCGTGTGTCCTCTGCACCGCAGCACCTATTCATTTGAAATTCAAACATACTCACATCTATATAATCTTTTCTTCTGGATTTAAATCTCACGTGTGAAGCACCTATAGTTATTTCTATTGAAACCCCCCCAAAAACACTAAGAGCTCATGCCTGTTGGTCCTCAGCAATGTTTCATTACAATTTGGCCTAAGCAAGGAGCATGCCAGACCACGAAATCTCACCACCCACCCTCCAGACTCAAAGTTCTTTGCTGATCCCCGGGACCTCCCTGAACCTGAACTTCTGTGCTGACTCCAAGCACTTCGGCCATCTGCTTCAAGAACAGGGCATTTCGTGTTGTGTTGTCTCCCAACCAGAACAGAGAGAAATTTTTAAAGTTCCTTGAGAGCATGAAGCACTTTTCTGAAGCAAACTCTTCTTTTCTCCTTCCATTCTCATTAGAAGGAAGGGAATCAATGCATCATTGCGTCTACTTTGTGTCAGGCTCTATACAAGCTCCGAATTAAAAAAAAATTGGCTTAAGTCACAGTCCCTGCTCTCAGGCAACGTACAGTTTACCGGCAGAGACAGACATTTAAACCAGCAATTAGAGTTCAGTGTGGAAAGTGCTGATGGAGGAGAACACTGAATCCTGTAGGAACAGGGATTTTAAAAGTCAGTGCATTTAAATTAGCTGGGGGGAGGTGGAGGAATGTCCGGCAGGATAAACCAAACCCCAGTGGCTTAATGCATATTTATTTCTTGCTTATGCTTCACGTCCACTGTGGTCAACAGGCCCTGGTTTTCATGGTCTGTCAGAGACCCAAACTGATGGAGGCTTCTGCTTGGCACCTGCTCTCAGTCATGACAGCAGTTGGAAGCAGATATGGCCACTCCCACACTGGCTTTTAAAGCTTCTGCCTAGAAAACGTGTATAATTTCCACTGCATTTAATTGGCCAAAGCAAGTCAGAATGTTACACGTAAGTTCAAGAGGGTAATGAAGCTTCCCTAAAAGGAAAACAATCAGAAATCTTTGGTGACCATCACTAATGCTTCCCACAAGGGTTATCAGCTGTGGCTCCTCTAGGCAGGGGCTTCTCAGCTTACCTTACACAATGAATAGGCATTAGGCAGGCTTAGCTGGCCAGAGCAAAAGCATTCCAGGCAGGGGGCACAGCAAGTCCAAAAGCGTGAAGATAAAAGAGAACATGGTGCTTCTGGATAATTTATATTTACAAATTTATATAGCGTCCATCCATTCTAAATGTTTTAAAAACACTGGCTTACTCCTTACAAGGTCCCAGTGAGGGAGGGTTCATTTGTCAGAGAAAGTACAGAGGCACAGGAGGCCAGAGTTTACTGTAGCAGAGCCAGGACCCGAACCCAGGTAGCCTGACTAGAGTCTAGGGAATTCAGAAAAGCTAGAACCCAGCGCTCCAGGACACAGAAAGAGGCGGGCGCCTGCCAAGAGATGTAGCTGGAAAGGAAGCAGAGGTCAGATTATGAAGAATTTTGTAAACTGGAGGAGGTTGTCTTTTTCCCAAGGCCTAAGAAGCCATTAGCCATATTCAAGCAGGGGAGTGACAAGAGCAAGCCTGCACATTAGAAAAATCACTGGCTAAATGTCACTTCCTTCCCTCTCCCCTACCATCCACCTGAACTCCTTAAATCCCTTTGTATCCACATGGCTCATTGTGCCACCTAGTCCTGCAGCTGAAGGATAAGGAAAATGCAATTTCTGTACCAAGTCCAGGTGTTTTCATAAGCCCTTAAACTGTCTTTAAAGGCAGATCCATGCCCATACACATCAGAGTCCCTCACTCCACCCATCCCATCAATGAAGTAACTCTACAAATTTTTCTTGAATCACATAAGTTATTTCCTTCTGAACTGGTAATGCCTTAATCCAGTTGCTTAACAATGAATACAAATGAATTTCCCTAATACTTTTTGGGGAACTCCTCCACCAAATTCAATTCAGCTATCACAAGTTTTTTGTTTTAAAAAGTTCTTATTGACGCTACTTGCACAAACCCATTACTAGACTACTAGTTTCACACTTGTGCGATCTCTGCGCCTCTGGGATGATAGGGCATCCACTTCCCTTCTTTCCTTGAAGGGAACCACTGTGAGAGTGTTCTCTTCTTGTCCGTCTTAGAATTAGAGTTAGGGGCAGTTGGGACCTGGGGGAGCCACATCTCCCGTGGAATGGATCTGTTCCTGTGACCTTCCCAGCTTTCTTGGTTTTGGATAACCGTTAAATGGATTTTCCCTAACAAACATAATGACTAGAAAAATTTGGAACATGTGATTTTTCTACAGTCTATCTGGAATTCAGGTGCAATATGGACCTATGCTTTTAAAACCTCTCCTTTACAATTGCCATGGTGCTCTCTTCTGTCATCACTTTTTCCCAGGACTCTTTTCTCAGGGGACTGCAAGGCCAATTTCCCATTTCCTTGCCTCTTCCCTGTGGTGAACAGACTCTAAAATGGCCCTCATAATTCCACCTTCTGGTACTCAACGATCTTGTGAAATCCTCTCCCCCTGAGTGTAGGCAGGACCTATGATTTCTTCTAATAAACTGCAGCAGAAGTAATGGGATGTCATTTCCTTGATTATATTACATAGGACTGTAGTGTCCCTCTTGCCAGGAGACTCTTTCTACCTTACTGGGTTTGGGGAAGCAAGGTCATCTTTGTTGGGTCACAGGATATGATTTGAATTTTAGAAGATATTGACAAATTGTCCTCCAAAGTAGCTATACCAATTCACAAGTTCACCAGCAAGAAATCCTTATCAATTTCCCAAGCTTTGCCAACACTTCACAAACTTTAAGTTTGTTCATCTGAAAAATGGTCCTCTTACTGGTATAATTTGCAGTTTCTTGGATTATAAACATTTTTAAAACTTTCTTTGGCTATTAATAGTTCTATTTCCATAAATCATCTGTTCATAGATTTTTGTCCTTTTTAAAAAAAACTGAGTTGCCTCCACAATGAGGTATCACTTCACACCAGTCATAATGGCCATCATCAAAAAGTCTACAAATAATAAATGTTGGCGAGGATGTGGAGAAGAGGGAACCCTCCTACACTGAAGGTGGGAATGTAAATTGGTGCAGCCTCTATGGAGAACAGTACGAAGGTTCCACAAAAAACTAAAAATAAAGTTACCATATGATCCAGCAATCCCACTCCTGGGTATATATCCAGAAAAGACAAAAACTCTAATTCAAAAAGATACATGCACCCCAATGTTCATAGCAGCACTATTTACAACAGCTAAGACATGGAAGCAACCTAAATGTTCACTGAAAGGTGAATGGATAAAGAAGACGTGGTATATAGACACAATAGAATATTACTCAGCCATAAAAAAGAATGAAATAATACCATTTGCAGGAACATGGATGACCTAGAGATTATCATACGAAGTGAAGTGAGTCAGACAAAGACATATATATCATTTATATGTGGAATCTAAAAAATATACAAATGAACATATTTACAAAACAGAAACAGACTCACAGACATAGAAAATAAACTTATGGTTACCAAAGGGGAAAGGCAGTGGCAGGGGATAAATTAGGAGTTTGGGATTAACAGACACTCACTAGTATATATAAAATAAACAGTAAGGACTTACTGTATAGCATAGGGAACTATATTCAATTAAAAAAAAAAAACACCTGGGCTTCCCTGGTGGCACAATGGTTGAGAGTCCGCCTGCCGATGCAGGGGACACGGGTTCGTGCCCTGGTCCGGGAAGATCCCGCATGCCGCGGAGCGGCTGGGCCCGTGAGCCATGGCCGCTGAGCCTGCGCATCCGGAGCCTGTGCTCCACAACGGGAGAGGCCACAACAGTGAGAGGCCCGCGTACCACAAAAAAAAAAAACCCAAAAAAACCCAAGTTGCCTTAATGAGAGTTCTTTACATGGTCTCTATACTGGTCCTTTATCTCACTTGTCATTTCGTCACAAAAAATTTTTATGTGGAATAATGTTGAATTTGTAAATCTTTCCCTTTATAGCTTTTTAAAATGCCTTAGAGAAATGTTTCCTACCCTATGATTCCAAACATTCATACGTTTTCATTAATACTTTATGTTTAACACTGGGCCTTAAACTCCAGGTGACTTAATTTTAGTGAATGATATGAAGTAAGGGTCTATTATTATTATTTTTAATAAATTTATTTATTTCTATTTATTATTTTTGGCTGTGTTGGGTCTTCATTGCTGCGCGCGACCTTTCTCTAGTTGTGGTGAGTGGGGGCTACTCTTTGTTGTGGTGTGCAGGCTTCTCATTGTGGTGGCTTCTCTTGTTGTGCAGCACGGGCTCTAGAACGCATGGGCTTCAATAGATGCAGCGTGTGAGCTCAGTAGTTGTGGCTCACGGGCTCTAGAGTGCAGGCTCAGTAGTTGTGGCACACGGGCTTAGTTGCTCCGCGGAATGTGGGATCTTCCCAGACCAGGGCTCGGATGCATGTCCCCTGCATTGGCAGGTGGATTCTTAACCACTGCGCCACCAGGGAAGCCCAGGGTCTATTATTTTTAATTGCTAAGTAACTGTCCCACTCCTATATATTGGTTAGTCTACCAGTTTGAAATATCATCTTTATCACATATATAAGGGTCTGTTTCTGAACACTAGTTCTGTTGAGTTCATAGTACCACACAGTTTTACTTATCTTCACCAGGTCTTCACAGGGGCTCTAGTCTCATTTAATACACTTGTCATCTACAGCCGTGCAATCTCACCTTTATTTCTAGTACTCTGAAGGGCTGGGCAAGAACCTCTAGCCCTTGAACTCAGGTGTGGGGTGGGGGAATGTCAACGTTGCAGTGATTGAAATAACATGTCCTTACTCTCCTTTGGCCTTTACTCCCAAGAGACATCCAGCTGGACACCAGTAACCGCAGTGCTATTTATTGAAAAGAGCAGAGAAAGCACAGGCCCCCCTAGGGACAGGATGGAACAAAACAAGCAGTGCGAGTATGCCTCCTGCTCAGCATATTCTCTTGTTGCCCCACTGGGCCATCTTGTTGTTGATGGGCATCTTAAGGAAGCGGTCAGACTGCATGTAGGCAGCTATTTTCTCCAAGGCCTGAAGGGAAAGCACACCAAACCTTACAAAGACTCTAACCCAGCCAAAAGCCCCATTCCAAAACAGCAACACTCACATGCTGCCTGACTCCACCCCCAAGCCCCTCACCCCTGCCATTTCTTGTAGACAGTGCCTTCAAGGTATAGAAGCCAGGGCCTTCCCAAGACTTAAAGGCTTAGAGGTGTCCAACCTTGATCCCTTTAGGCAAAAGCTGGTGTTGGGCAAGAATCTACCACAATGGGGTCCCTTGGGGCCCGGGGGGAGTCTGTTTTTGTAAGAGAAAGGTGCAGGGAGCATCACCTCAAAACGGCACATGAAAGCCTTCAGATTTGGAAATTCATCCAGGCACGTGGGCTCAAAGATATGGTTCTGATCTAACACATCATAGGTGAGGAAATCCACAAAGGTGAGCTAGAGGAACGATAAGATCATCAGGTCTGGGGAGTTCATTAACACCTGCAGAGATAGAAAGGGATCCCCTCCTTTTCCTTTCCTCCTACCTTTTCCCCTGCAAACCATGAGTATTCCCCCAGGAACAAGGAGAACTGTTTCAGTTGTCCAGGTAGCTGTTCCAAGTACTGAGGCTTCAGTTTTTCCTGGGAGAGAAGTAAAGGGAAAGTGAGAATAGCTGTCATCGTCTGCATGTGAATGGAGCAGAAATAACACTTGGGTTCCTCAATGCTCCTTTTTCTTGATGCCTTCCTGCTGAGGAAACTCACGTGGTCAGCGTTGTAGCAGAGTTGTATCAGTTGCATGCGAAAATCCATTATTTGGTTCTCCATCATGTCCACTCGAATCTTTTCTTCTTCAGTCTCACCACCTGTAGGCCAAATAGTCATTTGGCCTTATCCACCCCCAGGTGAGCAGCCCTCACCTCACCAGCCCTACCCCACTCACACATATTGTGCTTGCGGGCGATATAGCGCAAGATGGCGTTGCTCTGGGTGATCTTGTTCTTACCGTCCATGAGATAGGGCAGCTGGAAGGAAAAGGAAAGGCCAAATGAACAACCCGACTCTCTCTTGCCTACCTGCCCCTCTCTCCTGGGAAAGATAAGACTTGCAGGGAAGTGAACAGTAGAGAGAAGATGCTGTGTCAGGAGAAAGAAGAGAGTAAGTAAAAGTTAGTAACTGAGTCCACACCTGATTCTAGACAGGGGTGCTTAATCTGTGTGTGTGTGTGTGTATGCGTATGTGCACGCCATGGACGCTTTTTTTTTTTCTTAATTATTTATTTTTGGCTGCATTGGGTCTTCGTTGCTGCACGCAGGCTTTCCTTAGTTGTGTCTAGCGGGGGCTACTCTTCGTTGCAGTGTGTGGGCTTCTCATTGTGGTGGCTTCTCTGTTGTGGAGCACAGGCTCTAGGCGTGTGGACTTCGATAGTTGTGGCACATGGGCTCTAGAGCACAGGCTCAGTAGTTGTGGCCCACGGGCTTAGTTGCTCCGTGGCATGTGGGATCTTCCCAGACCAGGGCTCGAACCCATGTCCCCTGAATTGACAGGCGGATTCTTAACCACTGCGCCACCTGGGAAGCCCTGGACCCTTTCTTAGAATAAGGTTTTTAAATGCATAAAGCAAATTACATATATTTACACGATTTATATAATATTAAAAGAGCAAAATTGTAAGAGTAATATGTGCCTATGAATGCATTAAATAGCAAGAGGTAATAACTATCATACTTTCAAAATATGATAAGTGTAAATAATATTTATTTATAATATCTGCAACACATTAATATAATACAAAAATATCCATTTTCTACTAGTGACAAAGTCACAGGCATGGCTAATAATCAAGGTCACTGACTGCCTATACTCACAACAGAAGGAATTGTTAACTTTTAGTTAGTAGTTAGTGGAAATGAAAATGTAATTTTTTCTCCATCTAAGTTCAAGGACCCCTGAATTCTACCTATTCTATCTAGGTTAAGAGCCCATATTCTAGATCCCCCTAGAATAGAGAGGAAAGGAGCAAGGATATACTTGAAGGCCTTCCCTTCTGCCCCCTCTTCTCCTAAAGCCACTTACGTTAGGAAAGTCCAGGTCTAGTTTGAATTTCATATCCAGCCACTGGCTTTTATCATAGTCAGGAGCTGTAAGAGAGAGAATGAAGTGGGATCCAACCTCCTTAATATCCGACCTGAGGAGAGTGGAAAGATCTAAAGACACACCCTAATTCCAATACCTCACATACCTAGACCCCCAAAGCTTAACTATTACTCATAAAGTGTTAAGACAGGGTTGGGCTATGGCAGAGAGAGAATCCCCAGATCTCTCCCCACACTGGACACAGCAGAGAGCTCCCAGGTGATTGGGGCATAAGTCCCATCCGACCTCGTCGTGATGCCACCCTCAGGGCAGAAGAAGACAGGGACATTTGGAGGGCCTGCTCGGCTTAGCGCGGCGTCGCACTGCCACCCAGAGGGGCATTACCTTCCCCGCACGTGTATCTTTTCTCTTCATAGGCTGTATCCGTGAACTCCAGGAGCATGCGGATGGCATGCGCCAGCTGGGGAGTAAAAAACCTCCCCGTCAGCGTCTGCACAGCTCCCAACGGCACCACCAAACCACGCCCGCCAATGCCCCGCCCCCTTCCGGCCCACGGTTGCCCAGACGCTGCATCCCGCCGAGCGGGTAGTTAAACGGCTCCTGAGACCTGTCCTCAGGCCCTCTCCCCCAGGCCAGCGTGTCCAGAGGCGGGGCAGGGGTCGGCCTCCGCGGCCCGGGAGCTCGGCTGGGGCCGGCCGCGCTGCGTTAAGCGTCGCGGCGTAGGAAGTTTGGCCCCCGAGTATAACCCCTTCTCTCGGAGACCACTGACCGTGAGCCCCCGGCCACCTCCGCGTCCGTCTACCAGACCGAGCGGCTTGGCAATTGAGACGGCACTCACCCCGCGAATATCCCAGTAACCCAAAATCATGGTTGACTTCGACGACATTCCGTTACTGCGTGCGTGCCTTCGCGGACTGGGGATAGATGGCCAACGGGAGGGGCTTTATACCCGACGTACGTAGGTGGCACCAACGTGCGCGCCTGACTCCGCCCCCACCGTCGTCTTCCCCTCCCCCCAGTGGCCACGCGCAGGCGCGACTGCTGCAGTCCCTGGGGTTGGGGGCGGACCGTCCCCGGGCTAGGCAGGGGAGGAGGGTGACCCGGACCTGGGTTTGGGTCTCTGCATTCTGCACGCGTGAAGCGGAACTGTGTTTGTTTACTAGTGCCAATTAGGGTGGGAGGAGCCCTAACAGCCTAGGCGGTGAGGGCCCTGGTTACCCCCGGAGAGTGCGATTCATGCCATAAATATTTATCTAGCGGGTGTGGGGGGTTTGGGGGGAGGTGGGCAAGAACCAGGAGGCGACTGAGACTGACCACCAGGGAATCTCTGTCTTTGGCGTGTGCATTGAGGATGGATGGAGAGGAGTTCGGAGCTGCTCGTTAGGTGTCTGGCCTGGCCTCTACAGCACAGCTACTTAGAACACAGAGTCCCTGTGTTCTAAGACCCCCTAGCCTGGGTTTGGGAACTCACATTTCCCCCTTAGTTTGGCTGAAGCAAAGATGAGACTTGTTTTTTTTTTTTTTTTTTTGCGGTACGCGGGCCTCTCACTGTTGTGGCCTCTCCCGTTGTGGAGCTCAGGCTCCGGCTCAGCGGCCATGGCTCACGGGCCCAGCCGCTCCGCGGCATGTGGGATCTTCCCGGACCGGGGGACGAACCCGTGTCCCCTGCATCGTCAGGCGGACTCTCAACCACTGTGCCACCAGGGAAGCCCAGATGAGACTTTTTAAAAGGACAGTTCACTAAAAGAAGAAAGGAAAAAAGTACAAACACATTGGGACAGACGCATTTATAATGCCTGATTTCTCCTCCTAAGATAACAGGCCAGTTACAAATGAACTTGGGTATAAGACTAACACTTAAGGAACACCTATGATATGCTAGTCAATAGTCTAGGTATTTCACGTATGTTACTAATTTATTGCAATTTAAGATTATTGAGGCCTGGAGAAGTTGGGTAAGTTGCCTTCCTAGGTTCAAGTTTCCATGGGTGGCCTGGGATTCAAACCTAGGTCTGTCAGCCCAATTTGTGCTAGTTGCTTTGCACTTGGATATCCAGACAGTCTCACCTCATCTCAGTCCTTGCTGGGAAATCTGGGGAGCATACTTTTTTTTATCTGGTTCTGGAGGGTTTCCCTGTTTCTAGGACTCCTTCAGCTCCATGAAGCCCCAGAAGGCAATGTATCAATATCTCCTCTCCCCCGTTCCCCCAAATTAACTTTTCTGGTTAACTTTTGCCCTTGAAAGTCAAACCTTAAGGGTCTCACTTTTGTTCTATTTTGTGAGGGAAGATGTTTGCTTTCTTAGTCAGTGTTATCAGCTAAGAGAGATGATTTTCGGAGGCCAGGAACTTGAGGGGATGACATAGGCAGTCGAAAAATACAATATTCTGGCAGTGTTAGGGTCATGGACAAATTCAATTAAGAGAGACTAAGGGAACATCTTAAGGACCCTTAATCCATAAGTATATCAAGCCTTATCTGTAGACTAAATCAATGCAAGTACAACCTGTTTTGTAGGGAGGGCAGTCTGTGACAGTTCTGAGATTAAAGAAGGCTATGTATAATAAATATTAGAAGCCACAGACAGTACAGGCTCTTCACTTAACGTTTGAGAGAAAAGGAAGCCAGAGAGTGAAATGACTTGCCAGAGTTCACACAGGCAGTCCAGTGTTCCAGTCCAGCGTTCCCTACGCTCTGCCACTAAAGAGACAAGCTGGGGAGGGGGCTCAAATTTAGCTCACCCAACAGGAGGGGACAAAAGTATTAGAAGAGAAAGTTGCCAAGTAGAGCGTGGACCACCTGACATGCTTTTTCAGTGCGTCTCTGGATCATCAGCCAGTATGGCTGATCAAAACCTACCACTGTCAGCCCCGGTACTCCTTGCTCCTGTGAAGTGTTGTGTCCTCAGCTGTGCTGGGTGCCTTGGAATATACTGGAAGAAGTGTACACAGAAGGATAAAGATGTCAAGGATAGCCTTATTTTGGAGTTTGTTTAGAAAGTAAGGAGAGCTTGGACCACAATTCTCAAATTCTGGCTCAGCTCCAGTGAATTCCCGCTCACATTCAAACAGTCTGGCCCAGTGATGGATGTAGGGCTGCTGCTGTTTCATGCCCAGTGTCCCAGCTCTTCCTGACTCTCTGCCTTTGGCCCCCATCAGGGCCAGAGGAAGCTGCAAGAGAGGCACATGACAAGCTTGAAAATACTTTTATTGGGGAGGAGGGGGGCTAAACAGAGTCCTGACAAACCTAGGCTTAAGTGCTCCAGGCTCAGGAAAGAGATGCAGTAAATAGGTGGCAACGGGGGAGAGCTCTCAGCACAGCGAGAAGGGGCACCATTTGTCTCATCCCCTGGGCTTGCTCATCTTCTTTGCTGTGTGAGCTGGGGTGTGGGGTTCGCTGCAACCTGGGGGCCTGAAAGAAGAATTCTCGGGGCTCTAAAGAGTTATCAGATCTGCCATCTTGCTTGTGAGAAAGTCTTGGTCTTGGAGGTGTTTGAGTTGCTGCCTAAGGGTTCATCTGAGGAAAGAAAAGGTTGAGGTGAGGCTGGTGGCAGGTGAGGGACCCCAGAGCTGATGCCAACAATCAGCTAGGAGCTTCAAGGCATGCCTGAGCACATGAAATCAAGCCCCTGGGGGACTGTCCTGTGGCCAGACCTGACACATTGAGTGCCACCCCAGGGTTGGGGCTGCTGGCTTGTCCACCTGACACTCTCACTCAGGGATCATCCCACATTTCCAGTGGGGGTCAGGATCCCAGGGTGGCCTCACCCCCAGCATCCTTCTGACAGCCTCCAGCCGTGCCAGGACCTTTGGGGCCTCGTGGGGACACAGCATCTGTAGCTCCCCAGGTCTCATGTGAAGCAGCTGGCGCCCGGGCATGGACCCGAGAGTCTTCACTGTGCTGGGAACAGAAACATCAGAAACTGTCAGGGGTGGGGCAGAAGGACTGGGCCTGGGTGTCTGTGTGGAGAAGGGGCTGTTTGGGCTTGGAGACTGGGGTGACAGAAGAATTCACAGAAAGGGTATCTGGAGGCCAGGGAGTAAGATAAACATATTGGCTGAAACTAATTTCATAGCTCCTGAGGTTGAAGGGAGAAGTGCCCTGGAAGAGACTCTTGTGATGGGGAGGGGTGCCTGATTATTATCTGAGCCCTTTACAGAGGTAAAACCATGGGACTTGGCACTCACAAAGTGGAGAAGTTCTCTGCCTGCAACCAGGCTGTGACCTCCTCAGGCCTTGAGCTAAGTCGAAGCCCTGGAGCCTAGAATCAGGGGAAGTGGGGGTCAGAGGCCATCTCATCTCAGAGTCACCTACAGCCACCATCATCTGGGTCCCTTCTCTGGGCTTCCGTCAGATCACTTGTCTCACTCCATGGTTCGCTTGTCTGATAGGCACAAGGCTTGTTCTCTGCTCTGGTCCCACGAATAAACTCAGGATACAGTAAGCGTGTGATAATACTGATTAAGTTGAACCAGGACCATCTCCTCCACCTGTCACTGGATCCTCCCTGCCCCCACCTCTGACTCAGGCTTTATAGCTTCTGAATAGTCTAGGCTGGGTAGTACCGGAGGGAACGACTTGCTCTGGCTTCCAGGGAACCCCGACTGCAGGGGCTCCAGGATGTTGCTGGGGATGTAGCCGCTCCGTCCCATTTCATTCTTCACCAGCCACCACTGCTTACTCTGGTCCAGAACCTGCCAAGAGTCACTCCAGCGGTGACCCAAGCCTCTGTCCGACCAGCCTTGCCCCTCCCCCACCAGGCTTTCTCCCTTCTGGCCCTTCCCCACCTTCCCTCTCCCTCTCTAGGCCACCCACGCCATGCTCCCAGTAGCTCCCACCAACCACCACCTCCTTTTATCAGCTCAAGCCCATGCCTCACCTCCAGTACCTCTCCCTGGACCACAGTCAGTTCCCGTGGGTTCCTAGCTTCAAACTCATATAGGACTTGCATTTTCACGGCTGGCTTGACAGGTCCGGGTCTGGAGGGCACAGGGTGGGGTCCGTGGTTGTGTATCTCCTCTTGAGCAAAGTGCGAGTTGCTCCCTAACCTAGGGCTTGCCCCACTACCCCCGGAGACAGTCAGGATGGCCGGAGAGTGGGGCCTCAGAGACTGGGCCCCTGTCTCAGCCCCAGAGCCCCAGATATCTCCCCCTTGGAGTCTAACGGTGACTTCTGGGCTTCCACAGATTTTGAGGGCAGGTCCTTCTTAGGTGGGCTTGGGGTGTGGGTTTCTATAAGCAGAAGGGGTCTGAAATGTTGATTTCTCAGGACTCTTCCAGCAGTGGAATTTTCTGTATCTGAGCTCTCCTTTGAGCACTTAATACTCAAGCTCTGGGAAATCAGAGGTATGTGTGGGGAGTATTGAAAGAAGAAGGGATTGGAGCCTAGGAAGGTAAAAAACTGCCTCTTCACCCAAGGTAGGGGAGAGATGTGCCTGTACATGTATGTGCCTGGCTAAAAGAGAGCCCGGAGGTCAGTGACATGTAGAATCCACAGATCCACAGGATCAGCCCTGTCCCTCCCTCCCTAGAACCATACGGTCCTGACTAAACCCAGGGCATACCGGAGGGAAGTAGAGTCTTGGTATCTTGAAGGTTCCTGTAGGGGCAGAACAGAGTACGAGCAGGATGTCAGCCAGCGTGGTGGTAGGGAGGTGGGGTGTGAGACCACAGACCCCCTTGCACACAGCTGCCTCATATCCCCTCACCTGTCTGCCCACCACACAGAACCCACCTACCACTTAGGTATCACGTGACCATGGTTTGGACTGAGATAGTGGACTGAGAAAGCCCAGCCAGAGACTAGGGCTTTGAATAGGACTCTGTGCTAAGCTCCCCTTACCTCATAGGAAGATTCTGGAAGCTGCCAACCGTCATAGAATGTGGGTTGGTAGGGCAGGGGCTCACTGCCTGTCCAGTTGGCCCTGGGGAAAGAACAAGGCTGAGTCCACTCTGTACCAGGCTGTGGGAGGTGGAGAGGGCGGAGATGACAGGGCCTAGCCTGGGGACTCTTCTATGTAGTGGAGGACGTGGCCCACGTGCACTGATCAAAGGCCCCAGGACACCCACATAGGAGCGAACAGCTAAGCATGTGCAAATCCCACAGTGCAGGTATCCATGGGCCAGCCTCACCTCTGCCCGTGAAAGCGCAGACATATCAACACCAGAAGAGATGAGTACTTTATCTCACTGATGGGGGGTTTGACCGAAAGTGGTAGAACCGCAGAGCGTTAGGGCTGGAAGACCCCCGCGGGGTCTAACTGGTTATAGTTCCCAGCAGCAGATCTCTTTCTAGCGGGTTAGTATGTGGAACTCCGCCTTGTGATCCCAGCACAGCACTCTGGCTGGCTCTAGGGTGGGAGCTGGTACTTGCCACTCAGCCTCCCCCTCACCCATTGCCTAGCACGCAGGAAGAGCAGCACACTGTTGGTGGTCCCCAGTCATGCTCTGCTTGCCGGCCTGGGGAATGCCAAGTCCCCTCTTCGAGGAAGTCCCCTCCCTACCACTCGGAGGCAGAGGTGAATGCTTCCTCTTTGCACTGCTGCTGAACTCCAGACACCCTGGATTATTGCTCCTCTCACGCTGAATTGCACATGATTCTCACATGTCTGTATTTCTTACTTACGTTGAACTCCTTGAGAGCTGTATCCATAGTACAGTGCATGGGACACAGGAGGCAGCTAATTTATTCAACGGGGACAAGTAAATGATTCCCCCTTCTGAATCGTTTTTATCGGCTCCTTTTCTTTGCCCTAAAAACATGCTCAGGTCTTCCCTTGACTCTGTTACTGTGCCCTTTAAGCTGTCATTCTATTCCCTTATCTTTGTCCAGTTTTTTGAGGACGTGTCCATATGCCCTGCCTACATTTTCTTACCTCTGGTTCTTTCATTATGCCTTGCAACCTGACTTTTACCTTTGCCATTGCTCTGTTGAAACTAGTTCTTCTAAAGTCCTGATAATCTGACTGCCAGATCCAGTGGCCTTGTATGGTCTATATCCTTCTGGATTACCACAGAATTTAGTGTTATTTATAGTTTTGGGTCAGTTTGCCTAAAATCAAATAACCTGAATAAAATTTACCTGAAATTTAACTATTTTGAGAGTTTTTACAACTCTTTAGCTATTCTATTTTCTGTGTTTCTGTCTTTCATCTCATTCATTCATTCATTTTTGGTTACTTTAAGAAATGAGAAAACATCTTAGGCCACATCTGACTTAATTTTATATTTAAAATAATAAACAGAGTCAGAAAATAGAATAGAGGTTACCGGGGGCTGGGAAAAGAGAGGAGTGGGTACAGAGTTTTGGTTGATTGTGTAATGGGTACAGAGTTTCTGTTTGGGATGCTGAAAATTTTTTGGAAATGGATAGTGGTGATGGTTGTACAACACTGTTAATGTACTTAATGGCATTGAATTATACACTTAAAAATAGTTTAACTTTTATCCTATGTATATTCTACCACAATAAAAGAAATTGATTACATTAAGTTATAATTTATGTCTTTGGATGAATTGGACACAAAAATCCTTTAATGGGGCTGAATTGGAAAAAAAAAGAACCTGCTCATTAGGCAAAAAGAATCCTAGAACCACTGGTTTTTTTCCCAGTTGATTTCTCTTTCTAAAACCCTCTTCTTGGACTTCCCTGTTGGCACAGTGGTTAAGAATCCGCCTGCCAATGCAGGGGACATGGGTTCGATCCCTGGTCCGGAAAGATTCCACATGCCGCAGAGCAACTAAGCCTGTGCTCCACAACTACTGAGCCTGCGCTCTAGAGCCCGCGAGCCACAATACTGAGCCCGCGTGCCACAACTACTGAAGCCGCGTGCCTAGAGCCTGTGCTCCGCAACAAGAGAAGCCACCGCAATGAGAAGCCTGTGCACCGCAACGAAGAGTATCCCCTGCTCGCCGCAACTAGAGAAAGCCTGCATGAAGCAACGAAGACCCAACACAGCCAAAAAGAAATAAATAAATTTATATAAAAAACCCCAACCCTCTTCTCTCTTGGTTTTCACGCTTCTGCTTTTTTGTTTCTCCTTTTAACTCTCTGGAATTTCTCTTTGCCTCCTTAACCATGTTTCCTTTCACCACCTTGAAGTTTCCCCAGGCCCTTCTCTCATGGGGAGAGCAGACCATGCTTGTTAAAGTGAGCTCTGGGGCTCCCACCACAGTGCTTACCTCCAGGTGGCCCCAAATATCACTTCTGTACTGACTGTTCTCAAACTGCTGTAGCCAGGTCGGACCTCTCCCCCAAAGCCCAGGCCACCCTGTCTCTGTGCAGGTTCCATTGACACCTCAGCTCAGCATATCCAAGCTGGCTGTCATCAATTTGCCCTTGCCGCCCAACTGCCCATCTCACAGTTCCACCCACGTGGAATATCTCTTTCTCTCTTAGCTCCTTGGCTGCTGGGTTGCAACTCTTATTGATGTTACATTTGCAGCATCTCTTACATCAGTAATTGTTAAAATCTGGGCAGGAATTGAGACAGAGTTTTCATTTTGTCCTTGACAAAAATGAGAAAAATTTTAGTAGAAGGTTGCCAACTCTCCTTCCTTGGGAAGAATTATTCTTTTTTCTGAAATAATGCTTTCCTTCAGTGGTGGGTGATGGTAAGTGGTGGTTTTGTTTTGTTTTCATTGTTTGTACTTAGCCTAATTAAAAGTTGGACACTCCAGGTAGAGTCCTTCAATTTGTTTTGAGATATTTCATAGAATAGAGGTTACCAGGGCCTGGGGAGTGGGAAGAATGGGTACAGAGTTTTGTTTAATTGTTTAATGGGTACAGAATTTCTGTTTGTTTTAAGACACAATGTAGAGCCTGCCACCTCCTGCCCTGTGTGTCCTGCCCTATGACCCCACGTCCCTTGCCTCTGATTCAGTTAGGCTTTGTCGTCACTTACTGGCTGGTGGTCCAGGCTATGCCCAGCCACTTCCAGAGGTTACTCTCAGGTGGGCTTAGACAGGACTGCAGCAGATCAATGGCCTTGGTGGTGAGGAGGGGTGAGATGACTTGGACTGCTAGGCCAGGCTCAGGGCACTGCTCCAGGATCTGGGGAGGGACAGAAGGTTTCAGGAAGCCTGGGCTCTTGCAGGGCCAGACAGGAGTGGGGAAGGGCCCGGGGTCCCTGGCTTCCCACTTTTGCAATACCACGTTGCCCCAGGCCTGCTCCTTCCTGTCCCCACTGGTGTCCTTGGGGTTAAGGACAGTGCATAGTGGGGATGGCGTCTTGGGGTCAAGGAGAAGAATGTGCTGAGGTGAGCAAGGGGCAGATCCACAGACTCCCTCTGCCCCCTACCTCCCACCCAGGCCTCTGTCTCATCTTAACTTCAGCATGTCCCTCTGCACCACCCTGTCCTCCCCCGACTCACGGAGTTCAGAGTTTGGAAGAGGAGGTGTACGAACGCAGGGGCGCTTGTATCCTGCAGCGTCATGGCCAGCTTTCCCTGAGGATACAGGGCGAAGCCTCTTACCACCCTTCCTCCCACTCTACTTTCACCAGGACCCCAGGGCCCCATTGTTCTGGGCCTTGATGGGGAGCCTGGCATTTCTCCAAAAGTCCCAAGAGTGGGGAGAAGCTGGAGAAGCTTGGGATGTCCATGAGACAAGAGAGGAGGGGACTGCTGAGGTGGGGTGGGGGGAAGGGCTGGGGAACTTGTGGGGAGCCACATACCAGGAGGTTGAAGCTGCACTTGATCTTCTGGAAGCAGTCGATGTAATGTGCCTCTGTTATCCCTGTAGAAAGAAGTGGGAAGGTGGCGGGTCACAGATCATCCCAAGACTCTCCCCCGACTCCTCTCCCCTGGCCCTCAACACTCACCCCCCTGATGCTTTATCTTTTTCTTCCTCTGTTTCTTCTTGTTATGACTGGTGTTTGACTGGTCCTCCTTCAGCTTTTCCATGAATAGCTCGATGTCTCTTAGGACGTGGCTCAGCACCTCCTGGACCGCAAACAACCCATGGTCTGAGTGGGCAGTTAGGCCCACCCTGGAACTCCCAACCCTGACCCCCCGCTCCCTCCTACCACAAGCCTGAGCCTCAGGCCCAGCCCAGGGTCTGACCAAGGCTCCGTGTCCCTCCTCAGCCCAGGCCCTGCCTTGGTCATCCTGGCACCTGGCTCCTTGGGGTGATGGAGACGACTGGTGTCCTCCCTTGGGCCAGGACCAAAAATCCTCAAGGAGCCCAAGACAGTCTGCAGTTACCTTATCCCGTTCTGGGTCCCCAGGGGATGGGGACCTCCTCGAAGGAGGCAAAGTGAAGGCACTTGAGTTTTGGATGATGGAGTGGTGTGGCAGGGGCCTTGGGGTTGGTGGTGTGTCTGCAATGGAAGGGAACCATGGCCCAGAACTTCTTTGACCTTTGATGGGAATCCTCTCCTCCCACTGGCCCCCACGCCCAAGCTTACTGTGCTCTGGGGTCATCCAGTGGTGCTGCTCTGGAGGGGGTCCGCACTCCAGAGGAGGTACCTGCTCCTTAGGGATCGGCCTTTTCAGAAGAGGCCCCCTGCATCTGTCCTGACCTGGGAGAAGGGCTCCGAATCGGGGCCTGTGAGCACATGGTGGGGACACAGCTTTGACAGGGTTCTTGGGACGGAGGCACTGCCCACCCTTCTGCCCCAGGACCCAAGGGTACCACTCCCTCTCTCCAGGAGCCCGACCAGCCCTGCTCCCTTGTCTTCATCTGAAGCCTTCCCTGACTCTCCCCTGCCTCATCTGCCTGCTCTCTGGGGCCAGTTCCTCCCATGTCAGCCTCCGAGGCAAACCTCCAGTGTTCACTGGGCCCCGCCCCAGCCCCTTCCCCATGCCCATCTGTGCCCTATTTCAGCCTGGCCCCTCCCCAGGTCTATGCCTATGTTATTGGGCCACAGGCTCCTGGGCTCCCCCAGATGTGGGGCCGACCTGAGCTCTGAGGTCCTGCTGGTGGGCTGGGGCAGAGGCTGCCTACCTTTGCTCTAGCTCCTCCTCCAGAGCCTTCTGCAGGCTGGTCTTCAGTTGCTCTGCCTGCAGGAAGCAGCAGTCAGACAGGCTGGAGATGGGGGGTCGGGGAGGAGTGGGGGGGTGATGGCTGTTGGATTCCACACCTACTCACCCCCACTTCCTGGCACTGGAGAAGCAGAGTGCTAGTGGCTGGCAGGCCTGAATCCTGCACAGTGATGGACAGGACAGAGTTGTAGGAGCAGGTGTTGAGTGCCACGTCCATGTCCTTGATGCTGTCCAGGCGGTAAGATTCCAGTTCCTCCTGGGCCAGGCAGAGAGGTCAGCTGTGAGGTCACTGAGAGCCAGGCTGACTCCTGGGAGCTCCTGACCTGGGTTGCTCCACCCTTCTAGTGGTCTGGGATGAGGCATCGTCTCCCCTGATCCCTGTGTCTCTCTGTCCCCCGTTTCTTCCTAGTCCTGGGTATGTATTGTGTATGGGGAGGGGTGGTTGCCATGTGGGACATGCATCGATGGTGTTGCCTGGTGCTTGCTTTCCCATGGCCTGGGTCAGCTATGATCCCTGGCGGGGAATGGTGGGAGGCTGACCTTTGTCTCGATGTCCAGCAGCTGGAGCCAGCCATCCCTGACTTGCAGGAGCAAGTCCTGGCTCCACACCTGGCCCTGAGCGTCCATTTCCTGTAGCTTTTGCAGGGCATCCTTGGGCTCCTGGACTCTCTGCATCCCCAGCTTACATGTCAGCAGGTGCTGAGGGGAGAGGAGAAGATGCAGGACTGGGAGAAGGTTTGGAGAAGGGGATCACAGGTGGGAATGCACAGGGCTGGGGGGTGGGGGAAAGGCAGCAGAGGGAGAAGACATGTCCCTGGCCTCCTTGTTGGGGAGTGCCAGGCCATCCCTCTAAAGCAAACTTCAGGGGCCTGTGTGATGGCCAGAGGCAGTCAGGCTGGGATGGGGCCCCCAAGTCAGGGTCTGAGGGGCTGTAGGAGGGGGTTTAGAACTCTGGAGGAAGGACAGTCATGGCCTTTAACAGTCCAGGCCAGCTGAGGGGGCTAGATCGTGGTAGATGTGGGCTTCAGCTACCCAACAAATAAGTCTGAACTCCTCTGGGTGGGATATTTATAGGATACTCAAATTCTGTCCCCGGCTTCCTTTGCCCTCTTTGGAATCACCATCCCAGCCTGGTCCATCTCCTCCCTGACCTAGCGTTCCTGTCTCCATGCCTTTTCTCATGCTGTTCCCCCTGCCCAGAAGGCACGTTCCACTTCTGCTAACCCATCACCTCCCAGTCTCTCAGGAAGAAGTCAAGCCCCCCTTCTCCCTGATTCTTGCCCAGGGAGGTCCATACTGACCTCTCTCTCCACTCAGGCCCTTGCCCCCTGCTAGTCTGATCATTCCAGCAGTGTTTTTATCCTTGAGGAGACCCCTCCCTTCTCCTATCCAAACGATGCCTTCACAAGTCACAGTCCTGCCCCTCACCCTCGCCTCCAGGCCCTGGTTGGGGGGAGGTTGTCTGCCTCCTGCCCCTTGATCCCACCACGCCGCCCTCTGCATAGCTCCCAGCTCCTCTCCCAGTTCACACGGCTGGCATATTCAGGAGCTCTGACAACATGACCAAGTGCCCTGGCACCCTGGACATGCCTCTTCTTGCTCTTGCCTGCTAGACCTAACCGAAGCTGGTTCCTAACCCCCGTCCCTCCATGAAGCCCAGTGCTCCTGGGCCCAACCCAGCTGGCTGGGGGGCCCTGACCTCTGCCGCCCTCTGGAGCCCCCAGACGGTTGCTCCAGCATCCCTTGCTGCTTCTTCTGCTTCTTCTCCGGGAGGGCCCTAGATCTACTGCTGCCCAGGGGCGGTTTCTACCCCAGACCTTCAACCTGACCTGGTGTCTTCTCTTCTCTGCCACACCCTTCCAGTCTGAGCTTTCTCTGTGGTGTCAGCAACTCTCCAGGCAACTAGATGTGGCAGAGCCAGTGTTGTCTTCCCACGCAGGGCCAGAGCTTCCATTGTAGGCTCTAAGCTGCGCAGGCCTGCCCCGGGGAGCTCAAGCCCAGAAAGCTCCACTCTCAGACAGTGGTCCTTTCAAGACCTCACACAGGGACCGCTAACCTCACACAGTCCTTCCTCCAGCTGTGCCAGATCCTGGGGCAGGGGGTGGACTGGGAGACAGGCGGGGATGGGGTGGTGGCAGGTGCCTCCTGACCCATCCCTCTGCTGCTTGTTCCTGCCCGGGGATAGGACGTCCACCACCTCAACTTCTAGCCTGGCCTTCCCTGCCCATCTCCCTTCCCCACATTTAGCAGATGCTCAGTTAGGCTTGCTGGACCCAAGCCCACCTGCTCTGACTGGGTCAGGCCATTGGCTTCTGTGGCAGAGACTTATCTCAGATAAGTTTTTTTGTCAGGGCAGTGGACACACGGGAAAACTTGGGTTGAATCAGGAAACTGTCTGGGGCCCCCGGGTTACTCACCTCCACCCTGAGCTGCAGGTGGGTGGGCTCTGAGGTGAGATTCTGCAAGTACTCCTTCCGGTGCACTGCCGTGGCCCAAAGCAAGGGAGTGGGGGCAGAAGAAGGAGGTGAGACATATACAGCAATAGGGGTTGGTCAGCTTGGCGAGGGAGGGAATGGAGGGCAGGGGGTTCAGGAAGCTCAGTGGGAGGGAACGGGAGAGGGCACTGGAGGGACAGCTTACAGTAAATGGCTCTGCTGCTGGGCCGGGACATGTTGACGCTGCTGAGATGACTCCCTAGAAGCCAAAATGAACGGAAGAGACAGCAATCAGGGCTGGGGAGAGGGATACCAGTGCAGAGCTGGGCGGGACAGCTGTTGCAGCCCATCCCTGACCCGGGTCAGAGGCTTGGACCACAGGTCTTTCTGGATCCTTCTCCAGATGTACCCTCTGCTGAGGAGCCTTCCGTCTTGGCTGGGCCTTGGAGGCCCCCAGGCAGGCTCCCAGCTTCCCATTATTTGGCCAGTAAAGCTCATTCCAATGGGCTCAGGAAAGCTGGGTGGACAGGAACTTGGGACCAGATCCCATCCTGGGCCTGAGTGTAAAATATGCCAGATGGGTGTGCCTAGCTTCTGGAGGGAAGGAATTAGGGTCAGCAGCCTTCCCTGCCAAAGCAAGCCTCTTGTCCAAGCCTGTTTCAATTCCTCAAATTAGGAGGAGGCCAATGTTGGCTCCTATGCTGGGGACCCGCTCAGGAGGGGTGTATGTGTATGTGTATACACATGCATTTGTATGCACGTTTATGATGGGGCTCTGTAGGATGTGTCAGTGATCTGCACTTTCCTGAATGTCTTACTAAATCTTCTGTCTCTTTGCCTTTCCATTCTCTGAACCCTCTTCTCAGAGTCCCTCCCCACACAACCCTTTAAATTCCAGCTCAAGGGAATAGACATTTTTCCAAAGAAGATATACAGTTGGCCAACAGGCACATGAAAAGATGTTTAATATCACTAATTATTAGAGAAATGTAAGTCAAAATCACAATGAAGTATCACCTCACACCTATCAGAATGGCTATTAACAAAAAGGCAAGAGAGAAAAAAAAGTTGGTAAAGAAGTGAAGAAAAGGGAACCCTCGTGCACTGTTGGTAGGAATGTAAAATGGTGCAGCCACTGTGTAAAACGATATGGAGACTCCTCAAAAAATGAAGAATAAAACTACCATATGATCCAGCAATCCCACTTCTGGGTATTTATCCAAGGAATATGAAATACACACCCCTGTGTTCATCATGGCATTTATAATAGCCAAGGTATGGAAACAACCTGAGTGACCATCAACAGATGCAGGATAAAGGAGATGTTGTATATACAATGGAATTAACCATAAAAAAGATAAAATCTTGCCATTTGCATGGACCTTGAGGGTGTTATGCTAAATGAAATACGACAGAGAGAGAAAGATAAGTAACGTATGATTCCACTCTTTTGTGGAATATAAGAAACAAACAAAACAAAATATATAAACAGACCAAACCAAACGAAAATGTAGATACAGAGGACACAGTAGTGGTTACCAGAGGAGAAGGGGCAGGAGGGAGGGGGAAATGGGTAAACGGAATCACTGTGTGGTGATGGATAGAAATTAAATTTTTGGTGATGAGCATGCTATAGTGTACACAGAAATAGGAATATAATGTTGTGCACATGAAACATATAATGTTATAAACCAAGGTTAACTCAATAATTTAAAAAATCTAAATAAATAAATAGATTCCAGGTTAAGGATCACCTCCTCAGTGAAGCCCTCCTTGACCACCCCACTCCACCCTTCCCATCATCCTAATGCCACACCAAACCTTGTACGTTCCTCTCTAACAAGAGCAGCCACCCTGGTTAGTGCTGTGAGCCTAATGCCAAGTGCCTTATGAACCTTATATCATTTAATTTTCACTACCATCGCTTATACTTCCTTGGCCCTATGTGCTGAGCACTGTTCTACAGATGTTACCCCCATCAACTCATTTAATCCTCAGAACAACCTTGCTGGGTGGGTTCTGTTATTATGCCATTTACCAGATGAGGATGCTGAAGTTCAAAGAGGGTAACAGGCCTGAAATCTCAAGTAAGTATTTGATAGAGAGTGAACCCAGCCGCGTCTGACTGCAAACTCCATGCTTTAACTGTCTATATATGTGCCTCTGTCACTGGGCTGTGACCTCCTGAGGACGGACTTATCTTGCCACTGCTGTCCACACAGCGCCCTCCTGGCATAGAGGGGGTCTAGAATATGTATATGTTGAAACGGAATGGAAGTAAATGAGGTCCGTGTGTACGTGCAGGGTGAGGTGGGAGTTAGCTGAGTGTGTGGGTCAAGGTAATGTGTCACTTTAATGACGTAGGTATGCATCACGAATAGGGTGTCAGTTCCGTGGGTGTCCGTGCATCTGCGTGGTGCCTCTGAGTTGTCCAGAAACCTTGGAATATCCTGGGCAAAGTGTCAGAGAGCAGCCCACACCCCTGTTTCTAGGACTGTTATGAAAGTAGCAGAAGATCTGATAAGATGACTCAGTGCTGGGGAAATGGTTGCTAGTAAACAATTAAGGGATTGTGGCTGGGTCTCTGTTTTCCTTGTTTGGGAGGAACCCTTTCCTCACCAAGGGTAAGGGGGTACTAAAAGTCTGCTTTCCCTCTCCCCAGCTGCACCTCTCAGGCTGCAACACTTCCTGCTTCTAGATCCAGAAGACAAAGAAGAGAAAATGAACGGTGTTTCGGTTAGCTCCCCGCCAGCCGCCTCGCACAAGGATGGTCCCTGTGGGTCTCTGTGAGCAGGTCCAGGGAAACATCTGCTGCTCAAGATCCTGATGACGCAGGCAGGGGGTGGGGGGATCCTCAAGGTGGGGCATGGGGATGGGGGGATGAAAGGTGGGGGGTGGAGGAGCAGGGGCCTCCTTGCCCCTGGGAAGGGGGGATCTCTGGCAGCCCAGTTTCCCCATTTATCCCCCAAATTTAGGGACCTGGAGTGGGGAAGGCGTTCGGGTCTGCATCACGGACCCTGGGAGAAGCAGCCCAGAGATGCGGCTGGAGCCCTGCTTCCTGGCTGGCTAGCCCTTGGCTGAGTCCCAAGCTCTTCTTAGGGCTGCTCGTCCTGGCTACATCTGACAATGGGCAGGAGACCCTGGCCTGGGAAGCCTCACTGAGTTGCATCCGGCATCCCCCGCGGCTTGGGTGGGCCCTAATCTCGCCGAGGGCCAGTCCCTTACCTGGGTCCCAGTGAGGCCTGGTGGCTGGTCCCCCCGAAGACGCAGTTGTTTGAGCTGCTGGTCTGAGGCTGGTGGTGGGAAGGCAGTGGCTTCTCTGCTAGAGGCGCAGCCACAGGCAGAGGCCCTGTGATCAGGTGAGCCCTGACGGTGCAGACAGGTCTTAACGCTGGTGAAGCCATGAGGCAGCCACACCTGTGCTCTTTGGACTCTGATGGGTGGGAAGGCTTCCTAGGCCACCACCTGCCCAGCACCAAAGCCTGGGCCTGTGGCAATGCCTGCGCCGACATGTGTCCCAAGCTTAGCCAGACTCCTGCTTCCCAGCTTCCTCCTCTGCTTGCCTCTGCCATTAGTGTGTGGCCCCCTCTTGCCTCCGCCTTTGGGTACCTCCTCTGAGGCCCCAGGTCAGCAACAGGCACCAGGGTTGGGACCAGAAGGAGAGGGCACCCATGGTTCGGGAGAGTCTGGCTTCTGTGGTCAGGGCACAGGCGGCTGGAGGTGGGCCCCAGCCTTGGGGGCAGCTGTGGGCTGGCACGTGTGCCTGTGTGTGCTGCGCGTGTGGGTTCGTGATCGTGTGTGCCCAGGTGGTGCCTGCGAGCAGGATGTGGAGTTTGTGAGAGCAGATGAAGGCTGTGGGCCGGGACCACCATGGGCATTAGGTGGAGGGATAAGACTTCTTCCTAGCAGGGCCCACCTCATTCTGCCCTTTCTTCTTTCCTCTCTGACCCAGCAGGGAGCCCTCTCCCTCATCCGCTCTTTCCTGCCCTACCCTTCCCCATGCCCTCAGACCTCTGGTTAAGCCTGGGTGGCTTCAGCAGAGATAGGAAACTGAGGTCTGCCTCTGTGCCTATTCATGAACTTACCCAGTCCTCGTGCTTCATGGTATTTAAAAGTCTTCCTTGGCACCCAGGCTGCCTGCCCTCTGGGGGCTCACAGTCTAACAAGGGAGGTAGGGTGTAAACAGGGAGCGAGGCAGGAGGGGAGAGGAGGGAGGGCAATGCCCGTATCCATGCGGTGGTGGGTCTCGTGGGCAGAGACCTGGGACCCGTCGGGTTAGGATCTGTGCTGGAGAGCCCTGTGGTCTGGGGGCAGAGCCAGCACGCCCACCCTTCGCTTCCTTGGGTCCATTCCAGGAGATCTCAGCCTCCTTCCCTGCCCCCACTCCAGCCAACACTGCCCTGGATGGCCTGGGGTCCAGGAAGGGGATCCTGGCTGGGGGCCTTCCCCACCTAAGAGAGTCCACTGGGCAGCCAGCTTTAGGGGCCCAGGGATCAGGTGGCTGCTGAGCCAGCCCCCAGCCGTGGCCACATGGGACCAGCTCTCCTGACCTCCCTGGCTGTTCTGTTCCCTGGGTCTCAGCCTCTTGGTCCTTCAGCTTCTTTCCAGATAGGACAGCCTGTCCCTTCGTTGCCTCCCCCAGTCCCGGCCCCAGCCCCGGCCCAGGTGCCCAGCCAAGACTATGTCTCTTATCTTACTCAGCTCAGGCCAGGCCCTGTCTTTCCCACAGGCTTCTTCGCATTTTCGCATTCAGGGGCCAGCACAGCTGGCACTCTCATGGAGGATGGGGGAGGGGGCTGGGGGAGGGGCACAGCCCACTGCAGAAATCCATGTGAAATCTTCAGGTGGAGAAACAAAGAGCTCCATCTTCATCCTCAACGTCTTGCATCTGCAGGGGCCTGTAGGAGTGCCCTTGGGAGCAGTGTGGGTATCCTCAGACAGGAGCCCTTTGCAGCTTGGGTGGGGCTGGGCCTGGGGCTTCTTCAGTGCCAGGCATTGTGGAACCACTCCAGTAAAGAGGGGCATTAGGAGAGATGGAGAGGCCAGACCCCTCATCCCCGGGGACTGGGGGACCAAACTGATGCTTCTGCACAAAGAAAGCTCCAAGTGTCAAAGCAATTCTTTGGCAAAGTAATCCTGGCTGGGGCACCAGGAGCCAGGACACAGGTGGGAGGGGAAGGGATTAGGGACTCATTTCATTCATTCACTTATACATTCACTCCACAGCTATATACTGAGGGCTTCCTCTCTGCCAGGCACTGTGCTACATGCTAGGGACACCTTGGAACTCAGCTTGAGTTCAGTGTCTCCCTCCAAACTGCCCAGCCTCTCCTCCCATGTTCCCAGCTCAGCAAAGGCACCAACACCAGCCAAGCATCCAAGCAGGGCACTGGGGCCACCCCAAGTCCTCCCTCAGCCCCTGTACCTGGCCCATCACCCATCCTGTGGGTCCCATCTCCTTAGCAAGTTCGTACAGATCCATCTTCCTCCCACCCCACTGCCGGGGCCTGAGTGTCCCCCACTTGTCAAATTGTCTGCCTGTGACGGTGCTGGAGTCTCCTACCCTCCCTGCCTCCAGTCTTGTTATTAGTTCCCCTCCTCCTTGCAGACAGGGGATCTTCCTTAACTGGAAATTTGATCATTCACTCCTCTGTCTAAAACCCATCACTAACTCCCCGCTCATCTCAGGATAAAATCCAAATGCCTTATCATGGCACTTAAAAAAGATGCACAAATTTATTAAAACTTGAAGATATCTAACAATTTATTGGATAAATTCTTATTAATTGTAGGAAACCTAGAAGGTTCAGGAATTCAATTTCAAAGGATTTAGAAAGAATTCCTTCTAAAAGCTTTCACTATTACATTCTTTGTTAAACTGGGACTTGGATCACTTTGGGCATCATTTTGCCCCTGAACCATTGCCTTGATAAATTAGTCAGCAGCAGTGCATGAAATGGTGGCTAGATGAGAGACTCGTATTCTCTCTTACCCAAATGTAGCAAACAGCGCCATAGGTCCTACTTAATGGAATAGGAACTTCATGAACTTGAGGCTCCTGCCTCTGATTATGGCCTTATCTCCCCCTACTTGTGCCACTTGCACTTTACACTCAGCTTAGAGAATGATTTGTGATTCCTAGACACGTCATGCCTTGGTACCTAGCTACCTGCTGTTCTCTCTGCCCATGGGAAAAGCCCACTATGCTTCGTGTCTACCCGTAAGCTCTGCCTCTTCTGGAAGCCTTCCCACTGCCCAAGACTGGTGGGGACTCTGGCCCTGGCTTCCCAGATGCCTTGTACACATGTCCCTCCACTACTGCAGGTATCACCTTGAGGGGTATGTCCCCATCAGACTGGAATGCCTGAGACCCCAGGGTAGTTTATTACCACAGTCTATAGAGGAGAGGAGGACCTGTGGACAAATACATACACTGTGGCATCCCAGGCACAAAGGACCATACTCTGTTTGGGGGCATCAGAGAAAACTTCCCAGAAAAGGGGATGTTGGGGTCAGTGCTTAAAAATCACGTAGGAGTTTGGCCCAGCAATGAAGTGGGAAGGGAATGCCAGGTGGAAGGAGTAAAAATCCTGTTGGATGGATGGGTGAAATGGAGTATTAGAAACTGGGAATGGCTAGAGTGTGTGTGTGTGTGTGTGTGTGTGTGCGCACATGTGTGTTTGAGTATGGCAGGCAGGTGGTGGCAGGTGACAGGGGATAAGTGTGTCTTTATCATCTGGTGGTAAGTGGTGTCACTGAACACTTTTTTTTTTTAATTAATTAATTTATTTATTTGGCTGCTTTGGGTCTTCGTTGCTACGCGCGAGCTTTCTCTAGTTGCGGTGAACGGGGGCTACTCTTCGTTGCGGTCTGCAGGCTTCACGTTGCAGTGGCTTCTCTTGTTGCAGAGCACGGGGTCTAAGCGCACGGGCTTCAGTAGTTGTGGCTCGCAGGCTCTAGAGCGCAGGCTCAGTAGTTGTGGTGCACGGGCTTAGCTGCTCCGCAGCATGTGGGATCTTCCCGGACCAGGGCTGGAACCCGTGTCGCCTGCATTGGCAGGCAGACTCTTAACCACTGCGCCACCAGGGAAGCCCCTCATTGAAAACTTTTGCACAAAGGTGTGACAAGGATGTCGTTGGTCCCTGCCTCCCGAGAGGGCCCTGCCACTTGCTTGTTCTCAGGGCATAGAGAGAGGCTGCTGAGGAATGGTGGGTAGGGATGGACCCAGGTGCACAGGTTTTAGACCGAAGGGGCCAAGGAGCCCCTCCAGGCTACCCTGGCCTGGCCCGGGAAACAGGCCTGGGCTTCTCGGAAATTCCAGAGCAGACCCTGGTCGGTAGTGGGGATCTCTGGAGGGCTCTGGGGAAAGAGAGCTCTGCTTTCCTGAAGAGCAGTGAGGGAGATAGGCCAGGGCTCTGGTTATTTGAGGAGAGAGGCCTATTTGTGGCTGAAAGGCCTCCAGCGGTGGGGTGCCAGCTAGGAGCACCTCAGGCTCGTGGAACTGAATGCCAGAGCAGCGTCCAGCCCGAGCTCTGGCTGGCATTCTGCACAGACGAGGCACGGCCTCCACGTCAGATTGGGGGCCTGGGGCCTAAGTCATGGTGGTCACGGCCAGGGGCTGGTGCCTGGCCCCCGGGCTGCTGGGAGTCACAGAAACAGACCCCATCTCTGCTGCCCCCAGTGCTGGCATGCAGGGCAAATTACTTCTATGAGCCAGACAGAGTAAATAAGGGCGATGACATCCCTGCACTTGGAGCTTACATTCCAGGGGTATAAGAAGCAGACAGATATAGAGTGGGGTCCAGGGAGTAGCTGGACGGGCTGGCCTCGCTGGGAGAAAAGGGGCCTGATCCAGCGGGAGCTCCCACGAGCACGGCCTCTACTCTGGTTCTCTGGAGCCTCCAGCTCCCTCCCAGCAGAGGCCGAGGAAGGAAAGGGGTCTGGCAGCAGGAGGAGGCTGGGAGGGGGTGATCTGAGGGCAAATGGTCAACTCTGTGGGGCCTGTGTGGTGTCGGAGGATTAAGTTTTCAGGAAGGAAGGCTGGGCCTTAGGCGCTCCTAGAAACAGCCCCATCCAGGGACTGGGAGACTGGGCTTAGAATCTCAGGCCTGCCCCCATTTGCCTAGCTCACCCTGAGTTCCTCAGTCTCCTAACCCCCCAAGCCCAAAGCCAGTTCTCAGGCCTTGTTTCTCCTTCCTTCTCCTAACTGTCCGTGGCAGCAGGATGTCTCTCTAGATGACAATCTAGATGACATTCTCAGTACCCCTCACCCCACTTCTGGGCAATTGGTTCCGCCTCCATATCCAGCCTTGGATCTGTTGGGTGACACTCCCACACATGCCTCCTCTTCCCTCCCCTCCATCTTGCATCCCACCCCTCATCCAGGGAGGTAGGTGGTCCCAGGGGCCCAGATTCATCCAGCCTCCCCTTACCCAGACAGCCCTGGCGGAAAGGCCCTCAGGGACGTCTGGAAAGCTCCTCACCAGAGGCCTGAACCTTGGACTGTGATTCAGAGCAGGCTGCCGGAAAAGCTGGCGTAAAGAGGAACCATGCGTCAGGCCGGGGAGGGCTGCTTAGGAAGGGGCAGTCTCTAAGAAGGGCCTGTCCTTGATGATCTCAAGGGAGGGGACGGACATGGGCCCAGCTCACTGTCCCAAGAGGGACAGCAGCCTGGGTCGCCCTCCCTGGGCCTGGCCTGGCCGCCTGTCATGGGTGTGCAGGGGAGCGGGCTCACCCAGCGCCTCTGTCATGCACTTCTGCTCCTGTCTCCATTTCAGTCCACTGCCCAGGGCGAGCACGATGCAGCCATTCAAAACCGCGTGTAAAAGTCTACTCAGTGACGCGCGGGAAAGTTCACGGTGCAGCATTAGATGGAAACAGCAGGCCACACGATGGTAGATACTGTAAGATCCTAGTTTTGTGAAATAAACAAAGAAGTACATAAATTGAAATCATATAAATGAAAACAGAAAAAATCTAAACAAAACTTGTAATCATGTAAATCGAAACAGAAAACATTGCAATCGTAAATCTAAATATAGAAAATGTTCATGATTTTGTATTAGGTGAAAAAAAGCTTGTTACAAAATGGTAATACTCAATTTTGTAAAAAAAAAGAATTGTAATCATGAAAATCTAGACATAGAAATAAACGCCAGCATGTGAATCTAAACATTTATTCGGCATCCATTCTGTGACAGGCACCTATCTGTTGAATGCTCACAACAACCCTTTGAAGTAGGTTCTGTTATTTTCATCTCCAAGTTAGATGGGAAGAAACTGAGGCACCAAGAGGCGAGAGGTAATTTATCCTGGGTCACAGCCCAGAGATGGCAGGAGTGCCGTTGGAACCTACGCAACTTGGCTTGAAGAAAAGGTACTTAAAGAAACAATGTCAGTTATCTTTAGGGCTTTTTTGCAGGGGGGCTTCTTCTTTGTGCTTTTCTGTATTTTCCAACTTTTCCCCAAAGAGCATGTTACTTTTGTAATCATTGTCCCTCCATTCCTTCTCCACCCCATGCAAAATAATGGGAATTTTTAAAGTAACAAATCAACACAAAAATGTCCAGGAAGGTGCTCCTCCTGCAGCCCTGGGACTCAGTCCTGCCCAGGGGTGGCTGCTGGTGGGTGAGCTCAGTAGCCTGGGGCTCCAGGAGAGCCAGCGGGAGGGCTCAGCCCTCCCCTCTGCGCTGTGTGGTCCCCGAGGGTCCCAAAGGCCTTGGGCTGTGCCCCTGAGGAATCTCAGGTCTCTCCACGGAGGCCACCCAGCACTTGGACTGGGGCCAGGCCATACCCTGGTTGGCCTTGAGAGGTGCTGGACATGCTGTGCTGTCCCTCCTGAGCCTTGGGCGGGGGCGGGGATGGGTGGGAGCCTAGGGCCAGCTGAGCAGTCTCCGTGGTTTCTTGGCCCTCACACCCCTGCCACATAGTCCCACCCCACATGGCTCCTCCGCAAGAAGCAAGGTGCCCTTCTGCAGCATCCAGCTGCTATTGGGACCCTCTTAGTGACCAGGGCCTCACTACCTCCGCAGCAATGCAGGCTGTGTGGGACCCTCCACAGTCCAGAGCAAGGGCCGCAGAGCCAGAAACACTCAGTGTGAACCCTAACTCTGGCTCTTAGCTGTGTGGCCTTGGAACCTGAGTTCGCTGAGCTTCGGGTTCATGGTTCATCAAAAGGGCTGATGATGACGGGGAGGATTACACAAGACAACATAGGTCACATGTCTGGAGCAGGGGAGGGGCTCCGTAAATATGCTCCCCAGCACTGGCCTCCCTGTAAGTCCTTCTTGCTGCTCCCAGCTCTCCCCGCAGAGCCACACAGAACAGACCTGATACCTCCAAGATGTCTCTTCCCTGGCAGGCCTTCCCCCGCTCCCTCGGCAACACCAGCATAGCACGGTGCCAGGCAGGCTGCCACCTTGGTCTCTCCAGAGCACTGTCTCAAGTACCTGTCTCCGTGGGAATCCCTGGGAAGCCTGGTTGAACATACAGAGTCCTAGACTCCACCCATGGAGAGTCCAGGAACGAGTCCCAGAGTCCAAAGTTTTACAGTCTCTCCAGCGGTTCGATGGGAGCCAGTGGGCAATGTCCTGCCTTAAGTGTGTCAGCCAGAAGAGACCAGTGCTAGGCTGCTGCCTGACCAGCTTGGGCCTGCGAGGCTGTCCTTCTGGCCGCTTTCCACCCTCCCCACTCAGTCCCCCCCATGGGGTGCGCTTGTGCCACAGACAGGCAGCATCCTTCCAGAGAAGAGTTCCACCATGCTCTGCTCTGAAACTGGACAGCAGCTCAGGCCGGAACCCCAGCCTGCCCAACTCTGACCCAGAATATTTGTCCAAAGAGAGGCCTGAGCGCCAGCCTCACCGGGCTCCCAGAATGAGCCCGATAAGCCTGATCTGTGGCTGCACTGCCCTCCCCAGCAGACTGGCAGGGCCGTAGCCTTGTGCAAAGAGCACAGAACTCAGGCCACCAAAGACCCTGCCCTGAGAGGCCTTCCCTGGATTCCAGAACAAGCCTCAGAGGGAGGGGCCAGCTGCGGAACAGCCAGTGGGGGGGCTGCCCCTTGGCCTGGGACTGGGATCCAGAGGCCTGCAGAGAAGATGCTGGGCATCTCCAGCCCTGAGGCTGACCGTGTCCCAGGGAGAGTGTGGACAGCTGCAAGGCCCCGCGGGGGGGACGGGGGGCGGGGCGGGGCGCTGAGTGGTGTCTGTGACTCAGGGCAGGCACCCACTGTACCAGGCCCTTCAGTCCTCTCAGAATGTGGTCCCCTGGGCTGGAGGGGGCCTTAGGGAGATCCACAACCCTTAATTCCTGGCCCCCTGAAACACTCCCTTGGAGAATGTGCTCACAGTCAAGGCATTCCCTGTTCCAGCCAGCCAGCCCTGACTGTTAGAACATTCTTCCTTAGGCCAGTGTCAGGCCTGCATTCCTGGGACAATCACCTAGTGTGTCTCCTCTTCTAAGGAAAGCTCTTCACATGTTAAGAGATAGTATCAAGTTCTCCAGGAGCTGCCTAAAATAGTCATCAGTGCCTGAACCCCTGGGGGCAAATTTAACTCTTGGAACCTCAGTTTCCTCATCTGCAAAATGGAGACAACCATGGCTGCTACTTATTGAACGCTTGCCCTGGCCTGACACTGCACTAAGCATGTTCCACGCCCGGAACAGCGGTGATTTATAAGAAGTTTTCCTCACCCTTGGCCAGCCTCCCAGGCCAAGCTCCGCGCTGGCTGGGAAGAGGTGTGGGCTCCCTCTGCTGGTCAGTAGGTGAATTGCAGACAGGAAAAGCGAGGACACGGTGGAATCATAGGCCGTCTTGGTGAGTGGGACCTCAAAGGTGGCCCGGCCCCGCCTGGTATCTTACAGATGAGGAAACTGGGGCCAGGGCTGCCACCTCATTGAATGAAGTTTGCCTGCATGGCCTCTGGCTTGGGGAGCTCCCCCGCCTGTCCCCCGCAGGGAAGCTGAGCAGTTCAGTCCCAATGGGCTCTCTGACTCCTCCACTGTCCCGCACCTTTTTATCCCATCCACCTCACTCGGCCTGGGGCTGCCCAGAGGAAGCGCAGGAGCTTGTGTGGTGGGGAGGACACAGCTGGGCACAGACACAGGGCAGAGGCCGAGGCCCCAGTTATGCCCTTCCACCAGCAAGCTGCAGTTCCAGGGAAGGTCCTGAAGGGCGAGGCAGGGGTCAGGAGGGGTGGGCTGTGGTGTCCATCCAGAGAACACCATCTCTGGGGAGAACAGGGGCCCCAGAGGGCTGGGTCTCCCAGCCTGTGCCCCTCAGGGACACAAGTAGGAGCTTCAGGGACATCTATGTCCTGCCTGGATTCGCTTATCTACCTGTTAACAAAATTGGCAGGTGAGGCTCAAAGGGGCTTCCAGTTAGGCGCACTAGCAGACTTGGAAGATTCTGGAAACTTTGCAGCTTCTCCATGTTTGCCATTTATAATAGTGGCTTTCATTTACTGAACATCTCTTTGCCAGGAGCTGTGTGATGTGCTTTACGGGTATTATTATTTTCCCTTTCAATAATGCTACAAAGTAGGTATTATGTAAGCCATCTCACAATTGGGGAAACTGAGGCTTGGAGAGGTAAGGAAATGGTCATGTACCTGAAAGAGCTAGAATATGAATCCATGTCCTCTGATGTGAACGCCTTTCCACTAACCACACTGCCTCTAGTTTGTTCTCTCCTCCCTGTCCCTCGGTGGTTGGCTATAGCACCTCTAAAATGAGCAAGACCTTCCATCTCCACCTCCCTCCTCTCTCTTGCCCACTGTCCCCGGGCGAGTGCAGCCACTCCCGAGGCTTCAGCCACGGTCTGGGAGATGCCTCCACTGATGGCTCAGGTCCAGTCTCTCGGCACCTCTGACCCAGCTCTGGCCATCCCTTGGTCGGCTTTGGCCAATGTCCCCCAAACATTTCGGGCTCACCATGCTGCATACTGAGTCTGTTCCTCCTCATGCATGTGTCCTTATCTCAGTCTGTGGTCCCACCATCCACTCCCCACATCCAGTCACTGAGTCCTGGGTTTTTCTTGTTTAAAACTCCCGAATGTGCTCGCGGTTTTCCATCCCTGCTGCTACTGCCTTAATTCAGACGTTCCCCACACCCCTGCACCTCACCTCTTATTCCACCGCAGCCTCCCAAACCTCCCACGTGTCTCCTCCCCAGGGATTCTCCCTTCTGCTGCTTCCCCACCTCTGCCCAACAGATCTTCGTAAACTTCAGATCTACACACATCACTTCCCTGCTTATAAATCCTTCAGTTACTCCCATTGCTTTAAGGGGAAAAAAAAAGTTTTTAGCTTCGCCCATGGCTCTTGAGATCTGCTTTCTGCCTTCTCTCCCATTCACACCCGTCCCACCCTAAAGACACCTGCACAGAAGTACCTGGAAATCCAGACCTTGCTTCACCTTCTGCCATCCCATCTTTCTAGCCTGATTAGTGCCTATTCTCTTCCCATCTCACCTCCAACATGCCCTCGTCCTGGAAGGCTCCCTGGATTTCCCTTGCCTCTCAGCCGGTTCAGGGGTTGTGGTCTGAGAGGACATGCCGCTTCTTATCTCTGTCTGAAACCTTAGTCCAAGATATTGGTGAAGACCTTCATTTTCTCTTCTACTAGGCAAGGAAATACTCGAGGACAGGGTTTTGTGTCTTTTCCGTGTAATACCCACAACCAAGCCAGTGCCTGCCACCTAATAGAGGATCACTGAGTGAATGGATGAGTGAGTGAATGAATGAATGAAGGTAGACAGGAACCAGAAGTTAGGAAAGCAGAAGTGGCTGTGAGTGGAGGGAGTGCCCTGGATCCTGCTCTGAGGAAGGGGTCGGTGTCCCTTGGACACATATTTCTCCCAAGTCCAGCTACATGTCAGGGGGCCTCCCCCTCTTTGCCACCTCTCCCTGACAGC